AAATAATAGAGTAATTTTCAAAGTTTATTTAGAAAGAATTTACTGAGTAAACTAACAGGCAATACAGAACAGCTCCCTACTGTTCGACTTAGCTGTGGGGAACAGAAACACCTACTTTCTCTGTGTTACCAGATTATTTATACGAGGTTCACTAATGAATCCCCAGCGTGAGGTCTTATTTCTATGTTAAATCTCCTTTGAAAGAAGCATCCCCCCTTCTTCTCCTCATACACACACACACACACACAAAAATCCAAAGTGTAATATGCTGCTTCCCATTTAAGGACATATAAAATTGGATTCCTTCTCTAAGAATAAGGAATGACGTTGAAAAACCACAGATGAAAACTATTTGAATGTTTACACAGTGGGTGGGAAAGGGAACATTTTTACATTTTTGGAGCCACTGCTAAAATGTGAGTGCCTGCCCAAATATTTTCTAGTTGAGTTTGTCATGGCTCCTCCTTACAGGTCAGGAAGGTGAGGCTGAGAGACGGTAAGTGTACCCAAGACTGTAAGTGAGTGACAGCAGGAATTCCAGCCTGTGTTTTCCCTATGTAGGTGCAACCCTTTATAGCATTGTAATCTTTATATTTAGAAAATCTGTTAATCCAGGTGGGAAGAGGTTAGTAAAGGTGGCTAAGGAAAATAAAGGTTTTTAGGTCCTTTCAGAAATCCTATTATAAACAAGATCAGCTTTATGGACAAGTGACTTGTGTTTAGAAGGCCTCATGCTTAGATTAATGCCCTGCTCTTGCTGTATTGAAATCTCAATAATTTTTAAAGAAAGGCCTCCGTATTTCCATTTTAAACTGGGTCCCACAAATTATGTAGCTTGTCCTTCCTACAAAGGCCAACAAAGTGAGGGTAAAGTTTATAGATAAGAGAACCTTCCTTTAGGAGACAAAAGATGGCTGGCTTGCAGTGTCAGGGCCACATGGATTTCTGGAGTAAAATGAGATGGGATGTTTTAGACCGGAGATATACTAGGGGAACACTTCCTGGGTATGATGTTTTCTTTCCCCACTTGTCTGGCCATTGCCTGTCAATGTGCCTTCTCAGGAAACAAAAGAGTAGCCGCAGCCCAGTACCAGCCAGAGGAGAGAAACATCAGGATAGCACTGCAGTCTGACCACAGCTCACATATGCAACATGGTATGTGACATGACCTGTTTCTGAGTGTGCCCTCTTTAACTCTCCACCAGGTGAGCTACGAAGGGTATGGGAAACAGGTCTTGGAACAAAGCAAGGTCCAGAGTCCAATCAGTGGGAGATCCCCCAAGGGGTCCCCTCCTTATATGTGTCTGGGGTAGAGGAGAAACCTAGAAATGGTTGAGCTCTAATTGTAACAACAAGCGCTCTCCACACTTAGAGGCGTCTCCTCCAACCCCCACTCCAATTCACCCAGAAAAGGACAAGTTTGAGCACTGGCTGTCACACCTCCCTTGCCTTACCAAGTGAAGCTGCTGATATCCAAGGGAATATTGACTCACAGGGAAAAATAACATCTGGTCACAAGCAACACAATGAAATACCTAAATCAGAGGACACAGAATGAACACACTGGACAGACCAAAAATTTAATAGATGAATAAAGCTCATCTTAGGATATAAAGAAGGACATGAGACTGTTGAAGCAGGAAAAAGATCATGAAGAAGACTCAGTGTGAGGGATTGGGTATGAAAAATGTCATAGCTGAAGTGAAGAACTCAGCAGAAGGGCCAAATAGCAGAAGGAATGCAGTAGAAGAGTCAATGGACTAGAAGATGAGGTATTAGAAAGGATAAAGAAATGAGAGGTAATTAAAATTATGAAGGGTAGAAGTAGGGCATCAATATTTACATAGTAGGATTTTCCAAAGTTATTCTGCAACTAGGAATTGCCATAATGAAGAACACAAAGAACTACGTAGGCCAGATGCAACTAGTATTGTGGGAAGAAACATGATGAAATCCATGCCTTAATACAATTAATGCAAATTAAAAATAGGTAACTCTGTATATATTTTAGCAATGGGAATATGTCTAAAGACTCATATTGAACCCATTAGAGTAGGTGCCTGTGAGAATGGGGATGTGAGGAAGACAGAGAATGAAGGGCCAAGAAAGTGGCCAACCCAGAGATTTAGGATGAATTAGAGAGTTTGTGTTAACTACATGCTGAGAGCCAAACATTTAAAAATAAATAATGATAATGGATGGCTAGATAGATAAGTCATTACCTGAAGTCACCAGAGAATCACGGAGAGAAACTAAAAGAATGTTTCTTTCTTCCACACAGTTAAAGACTTAGAAAACAGACATGAATTAAACATCCTTTTCAATACCAGGCACTGTCTTAGGTGCTGGGAATACCAAGATGAATGAAATACTGTCCCCAGACTTAAGAAATGTTGCTATTTTCCCAGTCTAGTGACATCCAATTTCAGCCAGCTCTGAGAAGGTGTTTTTCACAATCATGCTGCTTTAAATTTAACAAGCATAACTATTATTGTAATCTATATGGGACTGAAATATAAAGGGAGTTTTGAGGCCACCTAGGCTCACCTTCCATGGCCTCAGAATTCTTTTCTATTTTCCAAGCTGTGAAGTTTCCTTCCTTGTAATGAACATGCACTGTTAGCACTTCTCTTCGGAATGGCTGTGGATAAGTATTACCTCTGAGACAACGCGTCTTCTCTTGGTTGAACATTGCTAGGACCTTCAACTCCAGTCATAGCCAAACTGATCTGGTCATTGTTTTGCCTTATTCTGCCTGATTCAGGAATGATCACCCTCGCCTAATCAACCACTCATACTCTATCCATCTGCTCAAAAACCCCATCCTTCTGGTAAGCCATCCTGGATCACCCCAGAAAAGAGTGTCACTCCCTCTTCCACATTTACACCAATGGGGTCTCTCTCAACCCATGTGACTCAGGGACCTCTGCTGCCCTGAATAACCAGTTATCTTGCCATTGGATTGTATAGTGTCCCAAATGGATGACAATTGTCTTAAAAAAACTTTTTATCAACAAGTTATGTTTGAGCATTCATCTCTAAATAGATATTTGATGTGTTGATAATCTGTAAAGATGGTATTGAGACTGGGGGTTCCATAGGTCAGCCCATAGTTGAAGGAAAATTTTATACCATAAATAACACTTCATGGGAAGTAATAAAACAGGAACTCCTAGCAAAGGAAACATACTTTTTCTTTAGAAAATAAATTTAATTTCAAGGATGCTATAGAAAAGTAGGCTTCTCTGCCTCAATTTCTAAAATCAGTTTTGCTCAAAAACTATTTACTGAGTGCACAGGACTGCATGAGAGCTGGTAACTGGTTCCTGAGAGGCTCGGGACCCTGAAAGGAAGTAGTCAATCTGTCTGAGTACAGTGGTGATTTTCAGGAATTCACACCTTTTTTTTTTTTAATAATATTTGCTTGGGCACTCATATGGCTTAGCTTACTCATATAATTAAAATGTGTAATCCTGCAATATGAATTCATCCATAGAATGAAGTATTTTGCAGTTAAAGGATATTAGGCTACACAGGAAAATATTTATGACAAAGTTAAAAATGAAAAAAAAGCATGACTCTAATGCTATGTCTAGGGCTGGGGATGGAAAAACTGAAAGGAAGTACACAAAAATATTAATAATGGTTATCTTAATGATCATCTGAGGGTTGCAGGATTCACTTTTATTTTCCTTTTATTTTTTACAGCTCTGAAATTTTCTATGATGCATATTATATAAGAAAATATACACTATTAAAAATGTAGTTCTTAAACCCCTTGTGCCTACAATATAGGGATAATGATGGAAAGAATATGTTTTTCTATTTATGTGTATCAGAGCTACAAAGGTGAACTGTAAACTATGATATAAGCTAAACTGAGATTCTATCACAAATATTCCACTCCAAACTGTCCTCAAAGCTGTGAGAAACCATGATTAAATCCACAGTTACAGTGAGTATAACCCCAAAGTATATCTAAATTATGTGTATACAGTGTTTTAATTTATTTGTTTTAAAAGAAGCTACCATCCTAGCATTCAGGTCATCTACTGTACTTAGCATTTAGGAATTTTGATAGCATTTTCATTGATAAAACATGACTTTCACATACACAGAATAAACTGATATAAAACTTCAATAAAAATTAATTTTCCAAACAGATAAACTAAATATTGAAAATTTTTAAAGAACTTAAAAAATCACCAGCTGTCACAGTCTTCTGTAACTGAATCTTTATCAGTCAGGCAAATACTCAAACCACACATTCAGAATACCTCTGTATACTGCAGTGTTCAAAGAGAAGCGAAAAACGACATATGAAAGCATCACGATCCATAGGAGGTGATTTAATTCTAGATAAATGCAATCTGCTGCCCCCCTCTGCCCTGACTCCTCCAAATCCCATCCTCCCAAACATGGAAATATTTATTTGCTTTGTTTTCTTTATGCTCAACTATTGTTAAGTAGTGTTGGCCCCTTGCTTTCCAGAGCTTTGTGACTTAGCTGTATGTACAACTATCAACCACACAAGACATTAATAACAGAAAGTTCTCTAAGTCTTGATACTGATTAAAGTATTCAGTTTCCACTCAATTTACTATAAATGGACTTACGTTTTCTTGCAGATCAAAATAGAGCACCTGTAAAGAATTTTGGAAAATATTTATAGACCTACATGTATGAATGAGTTAATCTCCAAATAACACGACAGAGCGGTGAGAGGCACCCCGCCACATGGCTGCTCTGCTCCCCGTGCCCTCAGCACCTTGTGGTTCCTTTTTGCACATCCACACACCTACAGGCAGTTGTCCGACTGGTAGCCATTACTTTTTCCAAAACTAAGGAATGCAAAGCAAGTTAAGAAACTAGGGAAATATAAATGGGAACAGCACGCAAAATATACAAAGAGAGGTTTGAGTGCTCCTCTAAATTACCTATAAAAGTGTATTCGAAAGAAGTCCAGGCAGTTTTCAGTTATTTTTTAATGTGTCTCTTACCTTTGCTTTTATTATCAGTTCCTCGTGCTTACGAATTAGGTCCTCATTGTCTGAAAGTGATGAACCTAGACTTTGCTCTTGTAAATCTCTTATGGTTTTCTGAAGCCAACAAGTAACCTAGGTAAGAAGCAACAAAGAGATCACATTTTAAATGATTAATATAAGTGAGTAAAAATTCAGAAATAGTTCTCTAACCTTTCAAAACTTAAGCTACTTTAATTTCTTTTCATATAAACTCATCTCATATGTTAAATTAATATGATCAGGTTTTTAGTTTTTCTTCATTTCAATCTCTACATGCTTAAGAGAAAAAACAAAATAATACCTGAAAATCATGAAAACGATGTATCATTTCAGTGGATTACAAAGCATGAAGGAAATAATTCAGTCTCCTAACAAAGAAGAACCAAAATAGATCCCCATGCAATCTATAAATCATGCATTCTTTTAGAATACATATCTTCTTTCCTGTATAAGATTATGAATCTGAGTATTGTTACATAGACTCACATGAAGATATTAAATAGTATACGTAGAGTTATGTTTATACTATTAAAAGATGATGTGAAAATACTTAATTTGCTATAATTGCTGAAAATTTGTATTCAGAAAATGAATGGAAGAAGTTATTAAAATTCCACTGACATTATAAATGGCTATGAGCATGACTCACATTCACTTACTTGATTTACAATATGTGCCTTATACTGTTAAAACAATAAACAACAAAAGACTTGAAAGAAGCTGTATCTTTCCAAGTGATGATATAATTTGACATGGGACTGATGACATGTGGCCTCTGGATGCAGATTCCTTACCCCAATTAAAGGAAAGAGCTGGATTTTTACTCTCAAATCTTACACAGCATTGTTCTCGTGATCACATCATGGATATTGATTCCTAAAAACCCACTACATGCTGGACAGTTTGCTAGTTGCTTTTTGGGCATCATCTCTTCTTCTGTCAACAGTTCCCTAACAAGTACAATATCGGCACCACAGAGATGAGGGTAGGTTAAGCAGCTTATCCAGGGCCATATGGGAAGTGGCAGAGCCGGGATTTGTCCCCAAATCTACATTATTCCAAAGTCCATGCTCTTTCCATTGGGTCCTGCTGTCAGCCTTGGGTCACCTAAAGTCTTACAGCCCTGGTCATCAGGGAAAATTACTTCAAACCTGAAAGATGAATCCCGGTACCCCACTCAAAACGGTGCACACTGCCCAGCATTATACTATGATTTTCTCCAGCCGAGGCTGTCTTGCCTACAACAGCTGCAGTATTTCTCTAAACTCCTGTAATACGGAGAATTGTGTGAAGCAGGTGGCCAAGGACAAAGCTAGGTTAGTTCTGAAGCTCCACACAATAAACACACACGATGAACACACACAGACACATTCTACACAGAAGTCAGGTTAGGGCTGACATAGAATAAACTCCACTACCATTACAGGGCTGATATCACAAAGCTGATTAGGAGATCAAATGTCTATATCAACACTTCATTTTTTTCCTGTATGACCAGGTGGTTTCTCCAGCTTTCTGCCAATTGGAAGCCTTTGTCAGCCAGCATGTTAGGCTATCATCAGCGCAAAGAGGAAAGAATAATGGTGACCTTGTACCAGGTTTCATGTGAAATATGCCTCATGTTCTTCAGAATATTTGCTAACCTGTGCCTAATACATACTCTAGCTGGTCCTTGTATCTTAAGTACCATGTTTATGTAGTCACAGTTATTTGAAGATAGTTTGTCTTTCTGGCAGCCCAGTTAGAACTAGATGATATATTTAATGTACGTATTGGAGCCTACAGAGAGTATTTTATCAAGAGCTATAAAACTTGTTCATTAATGTATTAAATTTCTATAAAAATTTCTCACAAAAGATGCAGTGAGCTCACATAAAATCATAACTAGAGGAATGATTTAAAGGTTTCATCAAGGAAAAATGGATCATGACTATAACTAACTTTCAGAGATCATTTATTTTATGAAGTCCTGGGAGTGAGTTTTATTTATTTTTAGCTAAAGTGGGAGGAACTCTGAAATCTCAAGAATGCTTTAATAGGGAAAGTTAATATAGAATCTGAGTGAAGAAAACATGGGGACAAACAGGTGTTCACTAATCTCTAAAAACAGGTGAGAAGTCTAAACCCTCAGATAATCCCATTCAATTTTGTGAGTCAAAGACTTGTCATCTAATACATGCCAGCAGTGATGAAAGCTGGGAAAGAGAGATTGCTTTGATTTTTAAAAGGTATCTACTGATTTCATCCCCTAGATTTGGCAAATACTAGTTCAACCCCCAAAGGACACTCTTCTCTTGGGCATGGCAATACTATTACCTACAAGAGAATGTAGTGAAAGATCTATGGTGGTATTCCACATCTCCTGACCTGCCTGATAAAGCATACTGACTCTATAGATCTCCACATTTCTACTACCAAACACATCCTGGGAAGAAATACACAAACAAGTTGGCACAAAACTCAGAAGAAAATGGTTTACTGTGGGGGTGTGACATCTCATCATGAGGCAGTCCACATGAGCAGCCTCTTAGATCAGATTTACTTTGTGTGCTGTGAGATGCATGCAGAATAGACACTCAGAGTCCTTCTGATGTAAAAGCAAGACACTCTAAATAACCAACAGCATGTCAACCATAATGTAAACCAGTCATTCTGTGAGCATCTATTGCAGACAGCTGCACAGATATTCCAAGAGCACTTTTTATAAGCATTTAAATTGTATCAGCTGCTGTCCCAAAGCCGGAGTGATAAGTACAGTGAATGATGCATTGAGACATTCTATAGAACATGGTCCCTGCAAAAGGATGAAAACATGAGCCAAGAACTGGGGAGATGTGGAAGGAAAGGAAGAACAAAAAGCACTCAGAGTATGCGCTGGCAATTGGTTCTGGGCAATGACAGATCAAGGGGAAAATGAGAATATTTTTCCTTTCTCTTCCCAGTTCTTACCTTTCACATTGACCCGAGTGATGTGTTTGTGGTCATCTCACCTGTCTGACATGACATTTTAAGTACTCAGTGCCCAGAGGAGGTTGAACTATGGTAGAGAAGGAAGGAATGAGGTAGATTTTTTTTTTTTGCAGAGGGGAGGTGGGGGATGGAGAGGAAACACCTACGGGGGAGGGAGGGGAGACAGAGAGAAAGGGAAAGGAAACCAGGAAAGATGCAAAGAAGGTACAATCAGGGATGTCCAACAAAAGTCAGGAGCTGCCTTGGAAGTTAAAGAGGGATGCCACGAAAACTCAGTCAAATGGTGTAGACCCGCACTGTCCCGTACGGTAGCCACTAACCGCACATGGCTATTGAGTACTTGGAATGTGACAAGCCCAAATTGCAATGTGCTCTAAGTATAAAATGCAGAGTGGATTTCATAGAGTTAGTATAAAAATATCTTGTTAAAAACGTTGATATTGATTAAATGTTGAAACACTATTTTAGGTATGTCAAATTAAAATACATTATTGCTTTTCACTTTTTTATGTGGCTTTTTCCTTTTTAACTTTTTTTCACTTTTGTAACATGGCAACAGAAATTTAAAATCACATATGTGGCTTGAATTACAATTTTTTATTGGATGGTTCTGTAATTCAAGGATATTCAGAATATCCTTTTTTGTTAAGTGTAGATCTACGGTCTGAGTTTTAATTAAGGACAATTTAAGATAGCAGACTCAAGAGAATGGTGGGATGAGATACTTTTTGCTAAACATTAATGGACCACTGCATGGGGGGAAGAAGTAGAACTAATGACTCTCTCAAAGAAGTTTACTGGCTAAGGAAAAGGAGGATCAGATGACTGCTTTTAGGAAAGCAGAGGTAACAAAGGGACTTCTTCCCAACTTTTGTTTTCTTTATTTGATTATATGAGATGTAAGCATTTTTTCAGGTACAGTGAACTGAAGCTGTGTTAAGGAGAGTTGAGGCAGGGAGGTACTAGGAAGAGCGGGAAGGTTGGTAGAGGGCACTATTGAATGTATCGGCTTTGGCAAGGAAAGGCTAGTTTTTGTTTGTTGAATAACCTCATCTCACCTTGACCCCCTGATGGGAGATAAGAATAAAGAAAGTAAGAGAAATGAATAGGATTTTCCCAGAGAGGGGTCAGGTACTTCTCTAGGCAGGTCACAAGTTATCTCACACAATCCTT